TGTCTACCCCGAATGCCAGATCTTTGGCTCAGGAATGGAGATAAGCACTATTCCCCAGAGTTGGACATGACTAGACTTAATGTCAGGGGAAATCTTTACCTTTACCTATATCTCTCTCATGCTTTAAGCCCACCGAATTCCCATACTTTGGACTAGAACTTCCACTCCATGGATAACAGGGTGCACCAAGAAGTGCAGTGATGACTGAGATTGGGTTCATTGTGCCACTCCCTAACCAGTTTTACTCTGTTGAAACTTCATGTTTTTACTCTCATTTGAATAGTTTTGTCCTGACTGGTCTTTCCGCTCTATACTCTCCCAGCTGTTTCATTATTTAGTGAACTTTGTCTGTATGGTTCATGGCTGCCTAATAGCACTGGCTTTGGTATGCTCCAAGGCCTGTGATATGAGATAGAAAAAGGAAATATATAGAAACCCACAAGCCTCCAAAACCTTTTTACTACAAGCCGTCTGCTTCCACCTTCAAGATGGTGACTACAACACACCTACTTGTTCGTGTCTCTGGTCTTCACTCTTGCTCTTCTTTTGCTGCTATCCGTTTGCTTTCATGATTCATAGACTTGTGATGCATGATGTGAAAAGGAAATCTAGAAACAGTATTGGAGCTAAATAAGTGGTTCTTAACCTGTGGGTCCCCAGGTGTTTTGGCCTACAACTCCCGGAAATCTCAGCCAGTTTACCAGTTTTCTGGGCGCTGAAGGCCAAAACATCTGAGGACCCACAGGTTGAGAAACGCTGATCTAAACTGACATTGTTTTGCAGGTTTGGGTTCAATTTTCCATATATTAAGTATTGATGTTTATTTGAGACAAACACGCCCCATTGTTTAGTTATCTTTGTCTTTACAGTTATTTTACCTCACTAGAAGATTACTTTTCTTTTCTTCATACTTCCTTATGCTTCTCCCTTCTCATTATGCATGTATTGTTCCATTAATCTGTATACCTGTGCCAAACTGCTTGTTGGTACCTTTGAATTGTGACAGTCATTTTCCTTGTTTGTTTTTTTCCCTTCCTTGCTGTCTTGATGTTTCTGTTGGGTAGACTGTATCTCATATGCTGTCTGGTGGGTGAATTGAAGTATAACTCTAATCATGGGTTGTATGTGTATATTCTTCACAAGGGATCATTGCCACATACTTAAATAATGTTGACATGGACTGTTAGCTAATTGTCTTTGAGGTGAAATTGCTTTATTGTTTGCTCTCACTTGTGTTGCTAATGATAACATGTGTTTACGATTCATAAATCAATCAAGTCTAATGATTTAATAAAGCAATGACCAAGGGGCAGATAGTGAGCCATATCCAGTATCTGCTGTGATATTTCAGGTCCTCATAATTTCTAGTACAAACTACGGTTTTGGCTTGAGCTTTTTTTCTCCCAAGACTACCTTTGGAAGTGTTACTGTCAGGCCAACTGAGGGGTGGTATAAGCATGTGAGGCAGAAAGGGGAACTTCTTTCTTTTGTATTTTATTTTATTTTTAATATCCCACCTCCTGCCACCAGTAAGATAATATGTAATGTAGGCGCCAAGGCAATGATGCCATTAAAGGGGAGAAAGAAGAATAAACCTCTCAGAAACACAGCAACTTGGGGTTCAGTTATAAAGGTCTGTATATGTCTTTTTGTTGTATAATTCAATACTGTAGTCAGTATGTAGCTTCAAACAATTTCTTTTACACCAATATGATCTTCAGCTGACTCTCAGGAATGTATCTTCAATCCTGCAACTTGACACAAGACTTCAATTTATTATTTGAAACAAAGAAATGTTTATTCATGAATTCTTGTTCACATAAATTGTATTGGTTACACAGTACTTTCCTTCAGTTACACTTGGATATTGTTACATCAGTATTTTGCTCTTGTGAATAAATCAAACGGATACTATATAACTTTCAGAATAGTATAACTCATGTTTCTTCTTTCCATCGATATTCTGACTGAAACTTATGCTCAAAGAACTCTCTGTCTCCCAGTTTCACCTGACTGAGGACTTGGACTCAAACTAGTCCTTTATTACTTTAGTATCCCAACTGAAGGCACAATCTTATACGAGGATCCTTTTCCCTCTAGCACATAGACTAGAGATAAATTCAAAATGGTTCCTTTATTACTTTAATATCACAGCTGAAGACTTAAACTTAAACCAGGAACCTCATCCCTCTAGCTCTCCCAGCTAAAGACTGCCTTATTTTTAAAATGTCTCTTTTTTTCTTCTTAGTTTTGCCCCCTTTTTCCCTGCTAGCTACTCTAAAATGGATACATTTCTACTGCAGTGGCTTTGCAACCATGGCAATGCATCAACTAATCATATGCATCCGCTTCTGCCTGCTCCGTCCTTAATATTAACAGTAATAAACACAGATGAAACCTCCATGATACTTTACTTATTTACTTAGGTGATCTCTCGTTGTCTGAGTAGGATTGTCTTCCAAGATTGGTGTACTGGCGGTTGGTACGTAGGTGACTATGGAGCCCTATTCTTGATCTGCATGTTCTCCCACAGTGAGGGCACTGGTTTCCAGGTGGAAGGCATCCCAGTCGATGTTGGCTTGATGCGCCTTCTTCTTGGCACATTTCTCTCTTTCGCCCTCCATTTGTGCATCTTTAAATTCTACAGCATTTCTGGTCACAGCTGACTTCCAGCTGGAGTGCTCAAGCCAACCTTAAAAACTCTGGCATAGACAATGAGAACTAGGAAGCCCTGGCCTCCATTATAATTAGTTATTCCGTTACACCAACTAATTCAGTATCCTTTACAATGAAATGAAAAATGCTTCAGAAATTATGAGTTAAAAGGTGATGCTTGCATATTTAAATATATGTTATTAAATACAAATGCTATGTTTCTGAATCCAAATAATTTCATCATCTAGATCAGGCATGGGCAAACTTGGGTCCTCCAGGTGTTTTGGACTTCAACTCCCACAATTCCTAACAGCCTCAGGCCCCTTGCTTTTCCCTCAGGCCCCTTGCTTTTGGGTTTTAGTAGTGATCTGTTTCTCTCTCTTTCTCTCTCAGTCTCTTTGTATATTTAGATACATATTCACATATGTCTTCTGGCAATTTTTAAAATTGCATTTCTTGAATTTTTTTCCTCCTGCTGTTGTTAATTAGTGCGTTTGGTCTGCAGCTTAGGCAAAAATGTGAAAATACCCCAAAGTTATTTTTTATAATACTTGAATCTTCATGGCTGTGTTAGAATTCATGTAATAATGACAACAGCCTATTTATTCTTTCTCTCATACATACTGTAACTTTCATTTCTTGGTTGATTAACTTTAGGTAGATAACTGGGTATCATGAAGGTAATGAGAAAAAATGCATTGCACTTTCAATTACTTTTCATGGCGAAAAGGTACAATTATAGGACCTAAAAGGTACCTCCTATGTGTTATTATTATTCTCTTTATGTTGCAGATGTGTCGGTAGTACTGTGCCTATAGAATTACAAACACTTTCCGTTAGAAGATGCTATTTTCATTTCCATAGCCATCTTGTTGGAACACTTTCGGGTCTGCCTCTGGCTGTGAACTTCAGCAATCATGGTTATGCCATTTCTCAGAATACGATTATTTGTCCAATCCCATTCTTTCTGATAAGCATATGCCTACCTTTACAGCATCCTTCCACATATTTGGACCAGAACATTCTTTTTTTTTCTGTTCTCTGGTTTGTGAAATACCTGGTGCAGTTTTTTTAAAAAAACTTTTTTTTTAACTTTCTGGTATCTTGTCACAGTGTACACCATGGTTGCAATCCTATGCATACTTATTGTTGAGTAAGTTCCATTAAAACATTCAAGACTTTGTTAGAAAGTAAATACACATAGGTATCAGAAGGGAAAGAATACTGATTTGGAGGCATACAATGGAGGAATCAATGTCTGTAGTATGAGTTGATGTCTTTAAGTATAAAGACATGGAAATATTAAGGAAAAATGTGGATAATAACCTAGGAACGAATTAGTGTTGGATAATGAATGAGCTGTCAGTTATAGGATTCTGTATCATTTATTTTATTTGCCACAAGCTGGAAGGCTTATGGTAAATGGAATATGAGACTTGAACAGAACAAAGAGATGTTTCTGTTTCTAGGTTAGAAATAGGAATTGAATGATGGAGAACTTTATTAAAATAATCACTCTATTGCTCTGCTGAGAACCAGTTGAATGACAGAGATCCAGCTTTAAATTTCTAGCCATTCATCTATTTCTTCCCTCTAGCTCTTCCCTCTAGCTCTCCCAGCTAAAGACTGCCTTATTTTTAAAATGTCTCTTTTTTTCTTCTTAGTTTTGCCCCCTTTTTCCCTGCTAGCTACTCTAAAATGGATACATTTCTACTGCAGTGGCTTTGCAACCATGGCAATGCAGAAAGTTAAAACCAGAAAGTTAAAAAAAAAGTTTTTTTAAAAAAACTGCACCAGGTATTTCACAAACCAGAGAACAGAAAAAAAAAAAAGAATGTTCTGGTCCAAATATGTGGAAGGATGCTGTAAAGGTAGGCATATGCTTATCAGAAAGAATGGGATTGGACAAATAATCGTATTCTGAAAAATGGCATAACCATGATTGCTGAAGTTCACAGATTGTGCACCAGAAATGACAAAACCCACCAGGAAAGGCTGTCATAAAAGGTTGTAAAAGGAATTCCAGAGTATGATGGTGATCCCATAGAAAAACAGCAGAACTGTTTTTGAATTTGATATTGATTTAGAATTTAAAAGGCTGTTATTAATTTTAGTCAGCACTGAACCAGTTAGGTCCCATACAGTGTAACTGTTCTGTGAAGTTTTGACATTATGAAAATAACGATTAGAAATGACAATGCTAGCAGCACTTTATACTTAAGATGTTACAGCTAATAAGTTACAATGTAGGACAAACTACCAATAGCTACAGTATTGTTACTCTTTTTTTAAAAAAATGTAGATTTTGATTTAATATATAAATAACATGTCACCTGATTTTTTAGATACAAGAGAAGAGTATACAGATGAACAAGATGCAAAGAAACAGAAGCCATTCTACTCTGCACAGAATGAACATTTTGATGCATATGATTATGATTGAAGGGACTATTTTGAACATCATGCCATCTGTGGTTGTAAAGGTATTATAATGGTTTGCTATTAAATGCATATTAATGCTGTTGCACACACACACACATCTATACCTTATAGAAAGGATGAAGACTGAAGTTTTTAAATTGAGGTTTTATAAAATGCTAGCATATATATCCAGAGTTGCCTGGGTTTGTATTTTCATTGTGGCTTTTTCTTTTCTTCCCCTCTTTCCCTCATACACCTTCCCCCTTTTTCCTTTTCTTTCTTTTCTTTTCCTTTCCTTTCCTCCCCTCCCTCCTGCCTTCCTTCCTCATTACTTCTTGCTTAACTTTCTTTCTCTTCTATTCTTTTTTTTGTTCCATAAGCTCCCCTCTTTCCCTTGCCTTTCTATTTTCCTTCTTCCCCTTCCTCCGTTCTTTTCTTTTCCCCTTCTTTTTCTCTTTCCTTCTTTCCTTTCCCCTATGCACATGCTGCCTAGCTGCAATCAATCTGTTTCATTCCTTTTCTTTCCCAGTCACATCACAGAAGGCCACAGCCTAGCCACAGTGAATCTGATTTATTCCTTTTCTTTCCCTCAGTTCCTGACCTGAAAGGGGTGAGAGCTTTTAGTTCATAACATTCAAATACTTTAAGTTGGAGAATGAAGGGCAGGTGTGCCAAGTTTGGTCCAGATCCATCAAGCCATGTAGGAGCCTTTGTGGTACAAACCAACCAGCATAAGTGTGTGTGTGTGTCTGTGTGTGTGTGTGTGCGTGTGTGTGTGTATGTATGTATATATATATATATATATATATATATATATATATATGGCAATATATTTTTAATATTGTAAGCATTGTGCAGTGCAAACGTGGATTTGTATTTCGATGTTGCGTGCTGTGAGTTCAGATGGTCTTGCTTTCTGGTAAGTGGGAACAGGATCACACAGTCTTAAATTACAATCTGGCATATCCTTATTTGAGAGCAAGCCTTATTCAATCTACTGGAATTTACCTTTCGGTAGAGATGTATGGGATTAAATTGTTACTATCAAAATATAAGACGTAGTTCTTGTATTGTCACCCTCCACCCCCATGTTTTCAAAACAATTGCAGGTTGAGAATCCCATATCCAGAATTATAAAATCAAAAATATTTCAAAATGCAAAATTGTTCACTAGGTGATGGAGGCTGGATCTACACTGCCCTATATCTGCTTTGAACTGGTTTATAAATCTACACTGCTGGATAAACTGGGATAAGAAAATCTTGGGATATAGGGCAATGTAGAAGGGGCCTGAGATGGCAACACCTTTGATTTCTGATGGCTCAAACAAACATATTTAAAATCTTGTGTAGAACACTACCTTCACACTTTATATATGAAACATTCATGGCATTTGTGTTTAGTTTTGTGTCTCATCTCCATGATGAATGCAAAAACAGATATTCCAAAATCTTGGGAAACAATCCCCAGATTTTTAGTTCCAAGAATTTGAGATAAGACATATTCAGTCAGTAATTTTTCTGTTAAATTTTGTAAATGTATATGTTTTCAAAACTTCAATTCATTAAAAAAATAAAAGAAAAACAGTTATTTGAGGATTATAGCAAGACAGACCTAAGGTACCACAACAGCCTTGTTTCATTAAGTACAGAGGTTTGTGTGTGTGTGTGTCTGTGTGTCAGGAGCAACTTGAGAAACTGCAAGCCATTTCTGGTGTTAGGTTATAATTACAGAGATAACAATGTGTGGCACTTAACTCTGTGCCAGTTATAGCAGCAAGCTAGTAGCAACAAACTGTATAACATAACCCTTTCCTCTTTTTTAGGATTTCAAAGGTGCAACTCAAGGAACATTGTGTTTACTACCAGTTATATCTTCAACACAACCATCTAAAATGATAGCTCCTTCTTTCCAACACAATTAGAAATGTAAACTTTAATTGTTGGTTTTGTGCTCCCTATTTTGTTGCCATCTATGTGTTTGTTCCCCATTAGGGTTTGGTAAGGATGAAGATGTTAAATTATTTAGCAAAACTCCCACATTTAGTGTTTTTTTGCTATACAAGTTGTTGGTGATTAATTCTTTTTGTAATTTCCTGATGAATTATTTCTCCATGTCAGCCTAATCAGCAGGCCTGCTGTGAAATATAATTGCACTTGCAAGAAAATTAACTTCTCATGAGAGGAATAAATTTCATGATTAAATTTGGTGGCATGAATAACATTCAAATACCCAAGCAGAATGGCATGCTGATCTTTGCCATGATTTGATGACCTTTCTAAAAGAACAAAATAATGTTTTTGAAACAGTCCAGTGTGTCACAACTCACAGCAGACTAGAAAAATGTTTAAAGCAACCAAATATACTCTTGGAAAATCAAGGAACATCACCTCAGTGGAATTAAAAAAAAACCAGCCTTTCTCTGGGGTCAACAAAACACAACTCACCAAGTTCTCTCCCCGCCTCCCCCACATTTCCAAAGTCTGATAAGGAAACATATTTTCTTTTAAATGTAATTACTTAACTGGATCTAAGTATGGTAGCAGTCTGGCATTCATATCAGCAGGAGACAGACTTCTGTGCAAGTAACATGAATTATCTGTTGTTTTCTGCACAGAAAAAAAGACCTTCCTCTACCCATATTTTCCATGGTGATAAGCATGGTGTTTTTCTTCTTGCCATCTTTTAACTTAGTACATTATTTTTGAACTTACAGCTGTACTTTCATGAAATGCAAATATTTGATGTAGGGCCAGCCAAATCCTAAATGAGAGCTGTCAGGCTAAAACTACAAATTTGGAATAGCTTTTGGAACTCTTTATTTCTCAAGTGCTGTGTGAAAATGTCCTTGGTGTCTGCAGAATCAAGCAAGTGCCCCATGTTCTGTTAACTCAGTCCATAAATATGCCTAGGAGGAAGAACTACAGCTAAAGCTTCACAGGAATATTTTTTCCTTGTTGATTTTATGAAAAGAGAAGGGACTTGGTGGTGGTGAGGGAGCACCTCCAAGATAAGAGATCCCCCATTCTCTAAATTCAGGCTTTAGTGTTTCACTGAAGTAAAAGCCCTACACACATTTGAGGTATAACCATAAAAATAAAATGGCTTGTCTCAGAGATAATATGTCAGAGGCAGTGTGGTTTGCATATTATACTGAAGGCACACCTGCATCAGGTAGTTCAGCCAGATGTAAATATACCCCAGAGCACCCCCAAATATGGCACATTAATGTTGACTATTGGGCTGTCATTTCCATGACCAGGAAACACTTCTCTCTATCTCACTGACTTGATGCACAACCATATAAAAGAATTGCAGTGATGGAAACCGGGAACTGCAAAAAGTATCATAACATAATGGAGGCTCCAACAGGATGTTTTGAAAGGTGGTATGCCTTTCCAGATGGAAGAAGCTGTTACTGAATACTGTGGAGTCATACATTCGTTTTGAGTTTTTATAGTCATAAATTCCCAACATGGTGGCAATCTGTATTGCCTGCAGAAAGAAAAAAGATTTTGACTACTGTTTTCACCTGTACAACTAATTCACTTCTACTTTAGAAAAAAAAAGGGGGGGATATTTCAAAGGCAGGCTCTTTCACAAATGCCTAGATCAATTTTGCTTTGAACAGTTGCTCTCCCCCGCATTATCCCTTAAAACTGCTGAGTCTGAAATCTGGTGAGAATTCTTCAAGTGGAAAAATTCTTACTTTAGCCACTTCATTTCCTTAATACTGAAGAACCTTCTTTTGTAGGAATATTGTGGAAGTGAGGAAGATATAATTCATATGTCCAGTGCTTTTGCTTTATCCATTATAATACTTTGAACAGTGGCTGTGATATATTCTAGCATATGATGGCAGTAGAAATACAGAATTGTAAAGGCGTGGAGTTTCTACCAGTGTTTTTTCTAAGTTCATAGAAAACTTTGAAAAGATACATACATGAGGGACTTCCCGGAATATTGCTGAACATTCATTTCTACACATTTCATTGTGTACTGTACACTTTTATATTATCAAAAGGAATTTATATTAAAAGTCTTTATATGTGGCTAAGCTGTATGCTTTCTATGTATATTTGGGATCTTTTTGAATTCCCTTTAAAAAGAATATAGTTTAGTTCAAACAGAACAGACTTGTTAGCCAGTGATCTGAGAAGTGTGTCTTGAGGGAAAAAATGTTGTAGGCAGGCACTTTATCTGTCAAAAAAAGAAATATTAGTGGTACAAAGTAGCAATAACTTTGAGATGTACAACACTACAATGCACTGGATTAATTAAATGTGCATTTTACAGAAGCCATAAAATAATCCCAAGTATGTGGTGCTTGTTTTATCTGGAGGCTGTTTCTGTAGCTCTTTCTTTCCAAAATACAGGTTTCAGCATTGTAACACAAGTTACAAAATCATCTGAAATGTATTTGGACCTCTTAAATTAAAATGCAATGTCTCTATTACAAAGTCATCTCATACTAAGCAAGAGTGCAAAATATTAAAATACAATAATCAAAAATGAGAAGTAAAAATGCTATCATACTGGGATATACTATGTATATTTTCCAGATATCAGCTGTATTATTTAATATAGGCATGGGCAAAAGCAGTAACAGTCAATTTAATATAGGGGAAAGGCTGCATGGTGGTGATTTTCATGACCAGCTCCGAAATAATGAGGCCAGACACATGAAATTGAATGAAATATGGGCTGCTTTATTTGACCTAATAACAAGTTAAGTTTAGAATTTGGAAAACTTGCCCAAAAGGGAGGAGCAACCTGGTTGGGGTTTTAGCCAGGGCAGGTGTTTACCTGTGATGAACCTTCCCAATTTCACTTGGGCTAAAATACCTGACCTCAAGGGCAATGCAGTCTTCTGGACTGTTAACCCAGGATGGCAGTGTTGTGGAAGACAGATCTAAGGAACTCCTCACTGCAAGCTCCAGAACTCCAGAAGGGAAAGCAAACTAATGTCAGCCCACAGAGCAGTGTTCTTCCCATCTTCAAGGCTCCAGAAGTCAAGGATGCTATTCCAGATCCCAAATGGTGCCAAAGTGTACTTTTGGTATTCTTCCCCAAAAACTGCCCCATCAGGCCAGAACAGCTCTCATTCCCTCCTGCAAATCTCTCAGGAAAAGACGATTATCTTCTTATGTTAGGTGTACTCCACTGACCCTACATAATTTAGCCTCTGAAAAATTAGATTCCAATGTGGGTGCAAAAAAACCAAATTTGTCTTTCATAGGTTTGGAAATTATCCTATTGTGTTTTCTGTGTGATAAATCCAAGCACATTGGGAGCTCTTCTCCATACCAAACTTTACATCATAGAAGTGCAGATCAAATTAGCAGACCAGGCTGCCATATTTGCAGATAATGGAAGTCATGCAAATCCTGTAGCCTCAGTGCTTTGCCTTTCAGCACACTCGTCAGTCCTACCAAGGTGAATGATGAAGATGTTAAAGAGCCTTGTGCTCTTTAAATAGTAGTGACAACAAACCATTCCACCTCCCAAGCCACTCAACTGTGGCAACATAACTCAAACCCAATTGCAGAGGCCCATAATAATTGCCTGAGCAGACGGCAAAACACTCTTCCCGTTATCTTTGGTTTAATGGAGACCCTCTTCAATCTGTATAAGACCATCATTAAATAATAGTAAGACTGGAATACGGTAACACCATTCCAGTTGGTCCAGTGGAATGGACCAAGTGGCTTGAAGCCCATTTGTACTACTAATAATAATGTTATAAAGTCAGCACTGCAAAGGCTACATTGTCCCTAAGAAATTGCTAAACACCATTATCAAAGACATTTGGCCTTGTGTGTTATAACTGATAGTCCACCATCTTGATAACATGTTATTTAGGTTAGAATGGGAACTCCAGTAACTGAAAAGAGAAAGCCAATCAATATATAGTCATCTAATCCTCAGCAATGATTGTAATTAAGAAAGCTAAGTCTCAAAAGACACAAATGTAACGAATTAAATTAAGGAAGCTGCGTTTCTAACACTTCAATTGTACTCTATCCAACCTAGCTAAAGTCTCCAACATGATTGTAAAATGAAGATATTTGAGAACAAAGATAGCAAAGACAGATTTAAAAACATCTGGGAAGTGAAATTGAAGCCTTAGGATAAACTAGTAACACATACTCAAATCTGCCTTGCAATGTTATATAAGATTTGCATTGGTGACTATAGCTAATTCCCAGTCATGCATGGACTTTTCATGGAACCCTCAAATGGTAAATTTATGAAGAAAGTTGGCCTGATAAATTGACAGAAACTACAAACCTGGGCTAATATGTATCCTGACACAATGAGAATACTAGATTTGATAGTGTCTTCTTGTAGCTTAACTGCTTGGCTGTCTAAACAAAATATAGTTGGGAAATTATTTGTAAATTCACTGACATTTTTGTGCCCTTAAAGTTGAATGTGTTATGAAAGCTGAAGGTCTGCTTAAAACCCAAACAACTTGTGAATAAAACAAATGGGGAAATGGAGATCAGAATCAATGCCCTCGTCCTCGGATCTACCTATACATGTTGACAGCTAGCCTTGGGAGAAGAACTTAGGGGAGAAAAACCCAGGACTAGTGTAAATCTTTAGGAAGGTAATCCATGAGTAGATATATATATATATATATATATATATATATATATATATATATATATATATATATATAATGCAGAATTGTGGGAGAAACCTCAATAATGAGCAACTATCTGATTAGTACAGCCACTTTTGAGCTCATGACATGAACATATCCTTTGGGGACAATAACACTGGATCAGCTCTGAAGCATAGCCAGCCAAAGAGGGCAGTTGTACCTTTGACCATGGGGAAAAACGAGGTCTGACAAAAACTTTAAGGATTGTGATTGACAAGAAGAGTGCATAAATTAGTCCAAAACTATGAAAAAACCTAATGAGCAGCAACTGAATGATTGGCTGCATATAAAGGTTATAGCCCGCAGCTGAATTGATCTCCCACCCCATCCTGCTGAGTAACCAAATCCCTTTCTACAGTGTCCAAAATGAGACAATGGAAATGGAATTACGACAATAAAATACATTGTATTTGCATTGGTTAGTTTCAAAAGCTGTGTATGTTTGAATTATGACAGAAATTTATAGTCTTTTCCTCATAGGCAGAAAGAAGCTGTTAAGCTGCTGATCAATCTTAACAGGGACACTGCATTAAAAAAACAACATGAAAAATAATCATGTAATTTAATGTTGCTATCTAAGCAGTAACTCATGAACTTGTTCTGTCTGTCCTTTCAGGCATTCTTTCAATGATCTGTCAGCGTTTTCAGCTACATTTGAAATCATGCCTTGTATATGTAATAAGGGGAAAAATCATGCAAATACAAACCAAATGCAGG